TTCCCATTAGTGTGTTAACCTTACCTTGTTCCTTCAGCCTGCTTTGTAGGATCGTGCGTTTAGCATGTAACCTACTGCCCACATCTAACCTGTGTATCAAATAACCTACTGGAGTTTGTCTTCAGCGCACCTTTCTGTGTCCTCATCCTCCTGAGATATGGCGTCTGTCCCTGGGACCTTCTTTCCAGATCAGTGCTGATCTTTTAATGAGTACCCTTTGGCTATGCTCACTCAGCTGGTCATGACCATGTAAAAACTCAAAACCATTTTTTTATGAAGTTATCTCAGAATGAAATTCTGGCTACCATTTCTGTAGTATTTTCTTTAGGAAGAATGCTGTGTGTCTATGGAACATGAAAACCGCCTCTGTTTCTTGTCTTCATAAAGCTCTTACATTTAACATACTTCCTTCATAACTCTGTACTTCAAAACATTCTGGAACAAATCATAATCCAATATTATGATGGCTTGCCTCAACAGAATAATATTTTGTAAAAAATGTTTATGAGAAAATGAACAAAGCTATTTTGCTTTATAAAATTAGCTTAAAATAAGGTAGAAAATGTGCATAGTGGGGCGCCTGGGTGGCTCAGTCGGTTAAGCGTCCGACTTCAGCTCAGGTCATGATCTCGTGGTTTGTGGGTTCAAGCCCTGCATCAGGCTCTGTGCTGACAGCTCAGGGCCTGGAGCCTGCTTTACATTCTGTGTCTCCCTTTCTCTGCCCTTCCTCCTCTCATGCTCTGTCTCTCTCTCTCTTTCAAAAATGAAGAAACATTAAATAAATTTTTTAAAGTGTTCATAATTCTTTGCATATAGAAATAACTTGGGTTGCTTTTTAAGTAGAAACAAAAGAATAGATAGATATTGTTGAACAGTTAACATTAGCCCGTACAATTTCTTTTCTTTTTTTTTTTTAATGTTTTATTTATTTCTGAGAGAGAGAGAGAGAGAGAGAGCATGAGCAGGGGAGGGTCAGAGAGAGAGGGAGATACAGAATCTGAAGGAGGCTCCAGGCTCTGAGCTAACTGTCAGCACAGAGCCCAATGTGGAGCTCAAACCCATGATCCATGAGACCATGACCTGAGCTGAAGTAAGACGCTCAGCCAACTGAGCCACCCAGGTGCCCCTAGCTTGTACAGTTTCAACATAAAGCTTTTCTTTAAAAATTTTTTTTAAATGTTTTTTTCTATTTATTTCTGAGAGAGAGAGAGAGGCAGCATGAGCAGGGGAGGGTCAAAGAGAGAGGGAGACACAGAATCTGAAACAGGGTCCAGGCTCTGAGCTAGCTGTCACCACAGAGCCCGATGTGAGGCTCGAACCTGCAAACCACGAGATCATGACCTGAGCTTAACTGACTGAGCCACCCAGGCACCCCTTAACATAAAGCTTTTCAGATGAGTCATGTTAAGACCATAAGACATGCTTTGAAAAAGGACCACACAGTGCCAGGGGGAGATGGAGCCATGGAGCACACACAGGGCTTCAGATACACGAAGTGACTGAATCATGGCTGGTCTTTTTGGCAATGTACATTTTAGGGAGGTTTGATTGACCAGAGGTGCTTAGAACAAGCGAGAAGACAGGCCACATAGCCATGGTATGTAGGCAGGATTCTAATATGGCCCCCAAGATTCCCATCACCTGGTGTCAATGCCCTACCTGCATAATGCCCCCTGCTGGAGTGTGAGCAGGACCTATGAATCTGATGGATTATCACTCTCATGATTCAATTATGTCCTGACAAAAGGAATGTTTCAGATGTAATTAAGGCCTCTAATGAGGTTAACTCTGGGTTAATTTAAAAAAGGAGTTTAACTTAGGTGAACCTTTAAAAGAAGGCTAAGAGATTCAACATGGAAGAGATTCTCCTGGTGGCCTTGAAGAAGCAACTGCCTTGTTGCAGAAAGGGCCATGTGGCAAGGACTCTAAGTGACCCTTATGAACTGAGAGTGGTCCCTGGTTGACAGCCAGTAAGGAAATGAGGCCTCAGTCCTACGACTGTAAGGAGACAAATTCTGCCAACAACCAGTGAGTTAGGAACAGGACCCCAGCTTATGGGGAGATCATCGTCCCATCTGACCCCTTGACTTCAGCCTGGTGAGAGCCTGAGCAGAGGACCAAGTTACACTGTGCCTGGGCTCCCAACCCACACAAACTGTGACATAATAACTGTGCCTAGTTTCAGACTGCGGAGTTCATGGTCATTTGTTACTCAGCAGTAGGTAACTAATACACATGGGGAAGAGTTATCAGTAAGGAGAAGAACGACTCAGAGGGCCTGTAACTCAATAGGATGCAGCCAGAGGCAATTGGTTTCCCTGATGGTGGATTTTCAAGTGACCACAAAAACATGTGTACTGGATAGAGATTTCCCACTGAGCATCACACATGGGGACACAGATTCTCTATCCGTCCACGGCAGTGGCTCCCAAACCTCAGTATGCATTAGAATCACCTGTAGGGCTTGTGGGAATCCATGGCAGGTCCCCACCCACAGACTTTCTGATTCGGAAGCTCTGGGGCGGGGCCTGACACTCTGCATGTCTAACAAGTTCCCAAGGGAGACTGATGCTACTGGCCCTCGGATCTCACATGGAGAACCATAGCTCCATGATAAACAAAGAAGTTCTAGTTACTTTTAGCATTTGATTTCTATGCCCAGCCTTTTCCTCATTTGATATGAAAATTTTTGACAAATTTGTATAAAAACAGGTTAAGGTAAAGAGAAGGAACTGAAATTGCTATATAACTTGGAGTAGTATGAAGTGTTTTTTATTCTCTGATCAGCCACCCGAGAGCTTCTATTTGGGTGGAGTTACTAGAGAACAATTAAACCAGTCTTAAAACACACACACACACACACACACAGGGGGCAGGGGGTGCCTGGGCGGCTCAGTCGGTTGGGCGTCCGACTCTGGCTCAGGTTACAATCTCGCGGTTTGTGAATTCAAGCCCCATGTCAGACTCTGTGCTGACAGCTAGCTCAGAGCCTGAAGTCTGCTTTGGATTCTGCGTCTCCCTCTCTCTGTGCCTCCTTTGCTTGTGCTCTGTCCCTCTCTTTAAAAAAAAATTAGAAATTAAAAAATAATTTAAAAAATTACACTGTATCCACAGCTAAAGTCCACTTGGGGGCATGGAGGACACCTGTGTTTTCCCTATCTGCCATCACCTCCCAGGTACAGGGCTTTAGGAGTCTATGCTGTGGCCACCAAACAAGGCCAGCCCCTCCCGGCCCTTGTCCCCAGGCAGCAGGTGCCTCAGCAGCACAGATGTTAGCAGGGACAGCACCTCCTCCGAATGCATCAGTCCCCACAGATGGCTTCACCATGGAGCCTTCGAGGCTTGGCGGAGGCAGCAGACTGGGAGCATATGAAGTCATGCCTGAGGTTTGGGAAAAGCAGGGATGCCATCTAGTACCCAAAAGGCTATGCCGAGGCTCCCACAAAGCCCAGAAGACCACTTAAGACAAAACTGGACAAATGCCTTGCTGGGAGAAGTGATACCATGTAGGAGTCGGGAGTGTCCATCAGGGCAAACGAAGAGATCAGAGGAGACAAGAAAGAAAAGTTCCTTCATGTAATTAATGAACATGAACTGGAGCGTGCTTGGAGTGAGATGAAGACAGGAGCAGACAGTAAATGTTATTTTGAGATGCAACCTAAGAATTATTTATTTGGGAGGACACAGCATTATCATGCCATCCCAAATCACCTCAGTTGCTCATGCTTGCTGTAAAGCTTGCTAATCATCTGGGCTGGGGTGGGTGTCAGAGAACCTCACTGAAAACATCTGCTAAAATTGAATATGCTAATTGGGTCTTATTTTTACGATTTTGCTCACGATATAATCTTGAAGGAGTGGAACGGAGTGATCATCCGAGCAAACTCGTTTTTCTATGCAGAATGTAGGTGTCCTTTACTCTGCACTTCCAAACAGAGATGACTGATCCTTTCCATTAGAAAAGTTTGGGTCACTCCAGCTGCCAACTTTCATGCTTTTATTGTTTTCCCCCCCTAAGGAGATACAGGCACTTTCTGGACATTTCCCAAGCTGCCGCAAAATGATTGATGGTTGGACTTCTTTTAATCCAAGTAATGCGGAGCGTCTGAAGCTTTGGTAATCAGATCCTACTGACTTTAAGACCACTGCCAAAACCTCCAAAGCACAGAGGTTTGGCAACTTGATTTAATCAGAGTGAAAGAATTACAAAGTGCAAACCAAGCCCCAAAACAGCTATGAAATGGGCCAATTCAGAAACGGACTTGGGCTAAGAAGCTGTTCGGTTTTGGCACCTCTCACTTGCTCTGCATCCCACCTCTCGAGCTGCTTTTGCCCTGGCCAAGGTTGGAGGCACGTGAGACACAGAGAAGAGAGATGTCGCGGGAAGCCATCGACTTTAGATCATAGGAACTGTGTCTGGAGAAAGGTCAGGCTCAGGGCTGGTGAACCCCAAACTATGGTACCCAGATCATCCTGGTTTGGGAAGATTAAGGCAAGAGTGGACCCGGCGAGACCTTCTGAAAGGGAAGCCAAATGGTCAACTTAGAAGCCATCCCTTGTTTCTGTAAAGTGAGAAGTTGCAGCTATCCGTGACATTTTCTTTATTAACAAGGATACAACAGTAGGCTGGTTCACGGTTCAACAAATGTTTTATGATCCTGGCCGGCACCGAGGGTGATCTGTGACCAGGTGCTTATCTGGAATTTCTGTCACAACCCCAGCTTGAGAGGCCTCTGCATCTGGCCACACACATGGAGGTTTCGAAGTGCATGAAACCCTAGGTTGTCTGCTCCAGAAAGGCTATGAGGAAGAGAAAAGTGAGTGAGAAGGGCCTGGAGAGGCCAACACATGGTGCGGTCGCCAAGCATCCCATGTGCTTGGCTCTTGCTTGCACACATTCGGCACAACATATAACCAGAACACAAAACCCAAAGTTCAGCACACACGTTTCTGTTAGGCAACTTCCAGTCACTCACAAAGTGCAAAGGCGGACTCCTGGATAAATCTGATTTGCCATGCTAGGCCAAGCTTGTTTTATTACATACATTCTGCATTCTAAGAACTAATAACTTCATATTGTAAACATTAAGCATACAGAGTTAAAATTCAAGGCCACATTCTATCGTTGATTGTCTCTTTTGTCGTGTATCTTTGGCTGGCCGAGATCAACTCGTAGTGTATAAATGCATAAGTTATATAATTATTATATAAAAAGGGGGGAAAACATTGGCTTGTATACTTCATTCTGACAAACGCACAGCGTTTGCGACTCGAAAGGAAACCTGGAGCCTCTGTCTAACCCAAACGCCTAGTTGGTTTCCAATGGCAGCATCGAAGAAGGCTACCCACCTCTTACCTGACCCTGTGGGGAACAGAGTCCCCCCCCATAACGATGAGGTCCCGAATGTTTCTTTTAAATATCAGACAATTCCAGTTAAATTTTTCTTTTGACAGACAGACAAACAAACAAAAAAAGAGAGATGCGTATTTTTGTTCCCGAATTCCACTCCTTCCCCCTCCTCCTTGACGTTCCTCTTAACACTGCATTTGGTAGAACTCTGACCAATGAACCCGCAAGTCTCCTGACTCAGTCTCCAGCCTCTGTGCTGTCCCAAGTTCAGTCTCTACTGCTTGACAAGTGTCTCTCCCAGCCCTGTGGCCTCCTTTGCTCCCTCCTCTCACACCTCCTCCAGCCCTCTGTCTGCAACCGCATGCTCACTGCTCACTGTCTGCACACGTCCTCGGCCCCACTGCCGGCCTCGGTTCCCGTAATCCTGTCCAGTGGCTGTGGCCCTTCCCCCAAGGGAATGAATCTGATTACACCCAAAACATCGCGTTCCGTGGAGGTTCATATCGACATTTGTCGATGGGCCACAGTCTCTCTCTCTTTTCTTTTTTTTTTTTGATATGTTTCTATTTTTAAATACAGGTAGTTTTCCTTAAAATGACACGTAAATGGTATGTTAGGTGAAGAGTGTGTTACCACTATTGCTGTGCTTGAATCCCCGTTTGCACGAGCAGGACCCCTAACTCTCCTCTGAAGTTCATATGTTTCTTAAGAACACTTTCTTTGGTTCTTTGTCCTTGTGACATCTTCATGCTTCTACTTACAATGTCTTTTATAAGGTTGGTCCACACGTGACGTGTTCACGCACGTCACATTTTCCGCATCCTCTTTATTCCTGTAGTAATACTTTAGTAAATCCCTCCCGTTAAGAGTCTTTGGATCTCGTCCCTGGCTTCCTTCCCCAGCGCCAGTCAAGCTTTTACATTTCTCTTGAGGCACTTTTGATTCACGTTCTCCGATAGAGTTGGTGGCGATTTCTTGGTGGTTGTATGCTGTTGGGAAAGGCCTCCCTCAGGTCGTTAGTAGTAAGTGCCCAGATGAGAAGGCATGTGGCTGCCGGGAAGCCTGGTGTTGGGGTATATGCCTCCAGTTGGTGAATTCCAGTAGGGGTTGGGGGTGGCAAAAAAATTGGATGAGGTCACAGGTAGGGCTGGAGGGTGGGGGGCCACAAAGTTCATCTTCTGTGGGTGGGCGTGGTAGGAGCCCATGTAAGGGAGGTCTGAGGGGTACTTGTACAGAGATGATTCTGGGGGGTGGGGTTGGAGAGCCTGGGCGATCCCGTGGAAGTCAAACTTGTAGGCGTAGCGCTTCCCGTGGACTTTGGTCATGATGTTTTTGTCATAGTAGTAACGGAGGGCGCGGCTGAGTTTATCGTAGTTCATATTGGGTTTGCTTTTCCGTTCTCCCCAGCGCCGGGCAACCTCATCGGGGTCCGTCATCTTGAACTCCCCGTTGGTGCCCTCCCAGGTGATGCAGTTGGAGTTGGAGCTGTCGGACAGGAGCTCCAGGAGAAACTGCCAAAGCTGTATTTGCCCACTCCCTAATGGGCGGGGAAGGAAACAGAACACCAGTGAGAACAGGTTCTGAGCTAACGGTGGTGTTCCTTCAGTGACCCAAGTGGGCGCTTGCGGCACTCCACACAGATCCCCTTAACCCGCCTGTGCACCTGTCCCTCGGCTGCTGGGGGTGGTGGCCGCCTTCCTCCCTCTTCTCCAGAAAACTGCCTTTGGCTGAATATGTGTTACTTCATCCCCTCCCTGCCCCCCAGGCAACCCCCAGGCTGCATGGCTGACACCATGGACCACAGGCCCCTCTCCTTGTCTCAAGGAGGGGCCAGCTCTGTGATGTTGTTCATACTCCTGAGCTCCTCGCAGAATCGGACCAGAGCAAGGTTCTGACTAAGGCCACCAGCCCCCGTAGCCTTCCCCCTGCCCTATCTGCTACACCCCGCCTGTCTCCCAGAGGCACACAATGCACTGATCGCTGGCACAAGCATCCTTATCCCAAGCTCTGTGTCTTGGGAACAGGGTCTTTGGAGAGGATGTCTGGTGACTGGCTGATCATAGATCCAAGCTCCTAACAGAATGCAAAGCATTTCTATGGGGTGAAGTTCAGGTTGGTCCCATCCATGTCTGATTTCCTTCCAAGCACAGCCAAGCCAACTTTGTGTTTCAGGGGCAAGAGGGTTTATTTTTCCTATTTTGCGAGGCAGAAAGTGCCATTATGTTGATGGCAATAATGACTTAACATCATTTATATTGGCCAGGTCAAATAAAATAATAAAAGTCATATTTAGGAAATGAACTTCTGAAAGTTGATGGAAAAAAATAGAGAATGGAAGTAAACACCGTTATTTCTAACATAACATTTTGCTGGCACCCAGAAAGCAATTCTGTCAAAACTTTTCCTAGAACAGAATTAACCCACTCAAAATGAGGAAGTTTAGAAAAAAAGTTGGCTCTTTTTCAAACCAGATCACCTATTTCCAGTATTTAGGCAACTGCGTCGTAACGGAAATCCATGGGCTGCCCTCGCATTGCGATGCCAGTTGTGTTCAGAAGTTTCCAGAAGAAAGCCTGCAGCAATGAGTGACTGCAAGCCCTTTTGGGGAACCAAATGAGACTCTGCCTCCGTCAGTGAGATCTCACTTAGCTGGGGGCACACAGGCAGAATTTTTTTTGACCCCATTGGAGACACATGGATGTGCCTTTCAGGCTTTATTAAGTTTTGAGAAAAATCCAGGCATATCCTTCCAGCCACCATGTTACACTGCTTAAAGATGACTTATGGCGCCCCCTAGGAAAGGAGCCTGTAAATATCGACAACAGTATTGAGCACAGGAGGAGTGAAGGTGTGCTGAACACATTTTAGAAGCTTCGAAAGTAAATGAGAGGTATGTCTTTCCTCCCAACCTCCAGCTAGAGCACTGTTTGGGGCTTATACCAAAAAGATTTCTTTTTTAATGTTTATTTTTGAGAGAGAGAGAGAGGAAGCACGAGTGACAAATGGGCAGAGAGAGAAGGAGACACAGAATCCGAAGCAGGCTCCAGGCTCCGAGCTGTCAGCACAGACCCCAACGGGGGGCTGGAAGTCATGAGCCGTGAGAGCATGACCTGAGCAGAAGTCAGACGCCTAACTGACTGAACCACCAAAAAGATTACTTTTTATTACACGATCCGCAAATACCAATAGATGTGAAAAAAATGATTAAGGTAACTTTAACTGACAACTATTTGAGAATTGATGTCATGTAAAAATTAATTATAATTTTTCCCCAAATCCATCCCCCTAGCTAATTCCCTATATAAACTGCCCAACTCATAAATCCTGGTTTCCGCAGTGACTCTATGGAAATGGGTATATTTGTGAATTCATCCGTGCACTAGCATCGTGAGAAAGGTCAGCCTCTTTTGAATCTGTTCTCGAAAATTCCCATTTTCAGTCTACAACACATTTGAAACCTATTAACAGCTTGTCGTTCACCTCATTGGAAGCCTGTGCTTTTTCGGAACCACATACTCAAACTGTTCTCAATCAAGTTTTGGTGGCCCCGAACATCTCATTAATATGCATTTGAACAAATATGAAGAATGGTATGAGCAAACCATCTGGTTTTAGTATACATATTGTAACCAAAGGATTACTACTTGACAAAAATTCCATCTATGACCTGGGAATAGGGGAAAACATGGATTTTTTATTTAACGGCCCAACATATGCTTCAACATAAACATGTAGAGCTGTCTGAAAATAAATATTCACTGTCAATGTCCTCCCACAGAGAAAGCAATTCCGCAGAGTGGGCATAAATACACAGACCTTCCCGAATAGCCAGAGTGATCGTCGGTATTTATTCAAACCTTGGCTTTGCTCCTAGGAATCTCCCCCTTGCCCACTTCCTTTAGAAACCTGCATAGAGAGAACGAGTGGACAAAAGTGGTTGACTCTTGCCTGCTTCTGAAGCCCTAGAAAGTCAGACATCTAAATGCACGGCCAGAAATTCAAAGATGAGCGATTTCTTACTTGGCCCTTTGGCCCATTAACCTTAAGACACAGCCTCTTGAGTATTTCAAGGGTCTATGAGAATCAGAGATCTATACACTAAATTCATCACCTTCCAAACCTGAGAACAAAAGCAAAAATGCAATATCAATTACTGTTTAAGTAAATGTTATAAAATGCACTGTCATGCCCAGGGCATTAATTGTTAAATTTAATACTCCTAACAAAAGCCCTTGGGTCTGCAAGATAGAGCAGGTTTTCTTGTGAAAGAGTTGTTGCATGGCACAGACGCACTGTGGCTACTGAGAACTCTGCCAATGGTAGATTAACTGAGTTCCTTGTGGCCACAAATTTTAAAAGCAATTTATGAATACAAAATCATGTACTGTGAGATAAAAGTGCATTTTAGAACACAGAGAGGGGAAAGCCAGACAAGAATACCTAAGGCGTGGGAAGCCTAAGAGGGGCTTGGGCCGTTCACTGGCCAAGCCAACAAAAGGGAGGTTCTTAGACTCAGGATCTAGCATCCGGAAGCCTGGCCACCTTCCCCTCATCCATCGCCCTCCTTTGGGAAAACCTTTCACAACTGTTTTCTCACCCTGTCTTGGTAGCAGCTTTGCAACATCAGTAAGGAGTAGCTACTTTTACCTGGATAATTGTCTAGGGTAATTAACTGAAAAGCCAGGATTGGTGGGTTGGCTGCCTGCCCACAGGAGAGACCAATGGGATAAAGAAAGGAGGAAAGGAGGGGTGCAGCCTGGAAGAGAAGGAAAGTCAATCCTTTAATTTTTAGGGAAAAAAAAAGGTCTCTTAATGCAACAGAAAGAGAAAATAGTAGCAAAGAAGTACAACTGAGCAGAAAAGGGCAAAACATCTAAAAGGTTTCTAAAGCACAGAGAAAAGCAGAGCTGGGAGTGACTCAGAAGCTGTGGGTTGAGTAGGAGGGGTATCCCTGGAGCGGGGCTCAGGGCCCACCACCTGATGGGAAATAAAGCAGAGAGAGGCCCCCACGCACCACAATGGCAGCCATTTGGGGCCACTTTCTGCTGTAGCCAGGCACGCTGCAGAGACAGTGGGGGGCAAAGCCTGGCCCCTCTACCATGCTGAGCCCCAGGCAGCCAACACTGGGTGGGGGGGAGGTTTTGCTCCAGGCTCAGTATGGCTTAGACAGGACTTGGTAGCGTACGGGGCAGAATGGTGTCTGGAAGCACCACTTTGGAATTATCACTGCCTCTGCTGAATCTGGGTCCCGGCGCGGATGGGATCTTGGGCAGCTCACCCAGCGTTCTGTGCCTCAGTGCCCCCATCTGTAACATGGGGGTGATGGTAACGGTATCTTGCCAAGATGCTGTGAGGATAAACTCAACATGTGAAGGGTCTTACCATGATCTGTTTGAGCTGAAAACAAGCTTTTTTTTTTAATGCTCATTTATTTTTGAAAGAGAGAGAGTGTGGGAGGGGCAGAGAGAAAGGGAGACAAGGTCAGAGTCTGATGTGGGGCTTGAACCCACGGACCATGAGATCATGACCTGAGCTGAAGTCGGATGCTTAAGTGACTGACCACCCAGGTGCCCTGAAAACCAGAGTTTAAAGAGAGGCACACACCTTGCCTAGAGCTACAAGATGACAGAAGGAAGCCAAGTGCCCCTCCCCGTGCACCCCATGTTGGCTATAGGAACTGCCAATGGTGTAGTCAGGGCTGGATGATGGCCACTGAAGGCCTACTATGTGCCGACACCATTCTGAACACTTGTATTTATTTAATCCCCTCAAAAATCATGAGGTAGCCCACTTCTGAGATGAGGACATTAGAGCCTAGAGAGGTAGAGTGACTCCTCTTGCCCTACATCAGCAAGGGTTGGAACGCAATCTCCAAGCTCAGACACCAAAATCCCAGCACGAACCACTGGTTTCAGGCCTGGTGTCTGCGCACACCTCTCACTCCTGAGTCCTCCGCAGGTCGTCCTTTCCCTGGGCCTAGGGTTTTCGAGGTTCCCAGCGGAAGACTGGACACTCCTACCTTCTAGCCAATGGCAAAACATCCCTAGAACTGGTCTCTGGGTTTGCATGAAGCTGGAAACAATCCATGCCCACCATTAAAGAGAGTCCAGTTAGCACCAGGTTGGGGAGTGGGGAGCACTGAACGTAACCCAAGAAAGTGCCTTCGTGGAAAGGCAGCTACACTTCATCAGAGATGCCACATACATGTTTAGCCATTCTGATGTGACATGAAGGAGCTGTGTGGCTCACATGTGATCCATGAGGGAATCATACAGGGATGAGATGCACCTCTCAGCAGGAGACATATGACCTAAAGTGCACATCAAATGAGTATCTGGGACAGGGACCTTGAGATGCGGTTATCCTCTCGGGCATTTATACACTACAATATCACCTTCCCACTTAAAATGATTAAAATGATTGGGGCATCTGGGTGGCTCGGTCAGTTAAGCATCCGACTTTAGCTCAGGTCATGATCTCACGGTTCGTGGGTTTGAGCCCTGAGTCGGGCTCTGTGCTGACACCTCAGAGCCTGGAGCCTGCTTCAGATTCTGTGTCTCCCTCTCTTTCTTTGCCTCTCCCTGCTCACACTCTGTGTCTTAAAAATAAATAAACATTAAAAAAATAAAAATTAATGATTAAAAACAGTTTGCATTGTACAAAGAGCAAAGGCAGCAATTTGAAGTGGCGAAGGACTTATTGATCAGAGAATGGGAAAATAGAATCAAAGAGGAAGAGGTATTCCTGTCCACAGAAAGACAAAAGACATTCGGGTTTGCAGGGGAGAAGGCCAAATGAATACAAGTGACTTTCGTGCGGCTGGAGAAGAGACGGAGAGGAGCTTAATTCATTATCAACTAAGTAAAACACATCTTTGCCTTCAAGCCCCTAGTTGGAGTTTGCCATCTTCTCCGCCCAATGAGGATGGTCTTAGCGGAGGTCATCATCTTCCCCATGCCCAGTGAAGATGGTCTTAGTGGTACAAGGGACTCTCTTTTGCTCCCAGTGCTAGACCTGCTGACCTACTATGGACTGAGACATTTTCCCAGCACCTAAATGGTTGTAGAACTCAATGGAAATCCTTCCTTCCTATTCTCTTGGCCCCCGTTCTCCAAGACCCTCCTTCCTCCTCATGCTTCCTCAGAAGTGGTGAAGGGCAAGAAAATAAAACCAGACTCTGGAGACGGAGAATCAGGGTTCAACTCCAGCTTCCCTTCTCATTGGCTGTGTGACCCAGGGAAAGTTACCTAATTTCTCTGGAACTCTGATTCCTCTTCTGTAGGATGAAGATAATAGCCTCCTGAGGCTGTCATATGGATGCACCACAGACTAAGGCGCTTGCCCGGGCATTACACAGGGTGGGAGCTATGTGATTGTTATTTCACATGATTGTATTACAGCCCCCAGAATGCTTCCGCTTCTGTTCCTCTTTCTAATCTATCCTCAGCGCTGCTGCCAGATCCGTCTTCCTGAGGCATGACTGATGATAGTAATCTCTAAACACAGGAATCATTTTCATTTGAACAGTGATGGAGCAGTTCTAAATGGATAGCTGAGCCCAGGGATTGTGGGGCAAAGGGGAGGTGCATACACCCAGGAGCCTTGGCTACCAGTTGGATGCTCACTTGAGAGAAAAGAGTCTGTGGCCCCACAGGTAGCAGCAGTGTTGCAATCACCTGTGTTCATTTCTCCGCCAGAATGCAAGGACTTTGAAGGTCAAGAACAGTATCTCTTTATTCCTCGCATTTGTTTATTTAACAAGTAATTTTTGAGCACCTGGTCTAGTCCCCAGGGTGTAGAAATAAACCAAACAGTCCCTTCTTCTTTTTTAAAAACTATTTTAAAAAATATTTATTCATTTTTGAGAGAGTGTGAGCAGGGGAGGGGCAGGGAGAGAGGGGAACAAAGGATCTGAAGCAGCAAGTCCAATACGGGGGCTCGAACTCACAAACCGAGAGATCAGGACCTGAAATGAAGTCGGAGGTCAACTGGCTGAGCCATCCAGGCGCCCCGGAAACAGTCCCTTCTAACTGCTCAAATGCCTAAGAGGGATTTGCCGAACTAGTTGACATTACCTCAAATGTAATGTCAAGGCTAAAGATACTTGATAATGATGCTATTTCGTGTTCTCAAAATATAGATTCCCTTGTGGCAACGTATGCTGCTCAAATCTGAACTTTTCCGTTTCCAACCTTATTTTGGCCTCTGTGTCTAGGAAATATACATTCCAGCTTGTACTTGCAATATGCCTGTGTCATCTTGGCATATGAATGTGCTGTTGAAAACCCTCAGCATATGCTGTGAATTTCTGAAGTGGACGCCAGCACAGCTGGTTCTGATATGAATACAAACAAACACAATAATTCAGCTGGCACCGAAATGTGATGATAGGTGACGATGCTTGGCAAGGTATGGGTCACCAGTGGGCCAATTAAGAATCTGCACTTTCTTCTAGCCTCTAAGTCCAAAATCAGACTGTTCATTGAAGATGATCCTACCTTTGAAGCCTTCTGGTTGGAATTAAGGTTCTCCTTTTTAAGACAGGATTTGATCCGCTTTTGTCATGGGTTGAACCTTGTCTCCCCCCACCCCAAAATTCATATGTTGGAAGCTTAACCCCCAGTATCTCAGAATGTGACCTTTTTTGGAAATAGGGTCTTTACAGAGGTGATCGAGGGAAAGTGACATCAGGGCAGGTCTAATCCAATATGATCTATGTCCTTACACAGGGAAATCTGGACACAGGAACGCACATAGAGAGAAGACAGGTAAAGAGACCCAGGGATAAGTCGACTGTCTCCAAGCCAAGGAGAGAAGTCTGGAACAGCTCCATCCTTCTTGACCCTCAGAAGGAACAAACGCTGCCCGCCACGCAACATGGTGACTTTGGACTTCTGGCCTCCAGACTGGGAGATGGTCAATGTCTCTTGTCTGAGCTCCCAGTTGGTGGTGTTGGGCCCGGCAGCCCTACACAACTGATACAGCTTACATTCAGTGATCCCGCTCTTTGCTGCAGCTAAAATCTTACTTTATACCATGACCCATTTTTTTTCTCACTCTCGTAATTAATCCAGTGAGATCTAAGCTCCACTTTGTGTAGCCAGAAGGATGTCACAGCCATACAAGTCAATCTTTCAAAATAGCCACTGCCAAAAAGGTAACTTTGTTAGGGGCAAAACCACCAGCATTCTCTCACCTGGATTTGCAAGGCGGCTACTTGTTGGTCCAAGAATCTGATAAGGATCTACAACAAAAAGAAAAGAAGTCAAATCCCAGAGACCTCGTCGTGACCCGGTATGAGGTCACTGCAGGTATAATATGCCCCACGTGTGTTTCCAGATTTCAGAGTTCACGTGTCCCCCACAGCAAAGCCATCTAGCACTACTCTTGTATTGAATAAGAGGTCACACGGGACACCTGGGTGGCTTAGTCGGTTAAGTGTCCAACTTCGGCTCAGGTCATGATCTCACAGTTCTTGGGTTCAAGCCCCACATCAGGTTCTGTGCTGGCAGCTCAGAGCCCGGAGCCTGCTTCAGATTCTGTGTCTCCCTCTCTCTCTGCCCCTCTCCTGCTCATGCTCTGTCTCTCTCTGTCTCAAAAATAAATAAAACCTATATAAAAATTTAAAAAAAAATCTTAAGAGGTCACATGGAGTCTGAGAGAAGTTTTTTGCTAAAGACCTCTTCACTGGTGGCCAAGCTCAGATCTGCCCTGAGGTTCTCGACACCTGGCTCTCTCATGCCAGGACACAAATTGGGCAGACATGTGCTATGTCCCTGTGGGGCCTGAGGCTGTGCTGGCCATCTTCCTTAGCACACTGGCAACATCAACCTTCCACTGCGTTCCACATCAGGCCTGGCATGAATGCTGACTTGCTGCATGCAGCCTGAAGGTACAATTAAAAGGACTCATCTGTCACCAAGAAGGGCCATGTGTGCAAGCAGAATGTTTTCTCCATATTTAGTGCATAGATTTTGGAAATGTCTTAGCAAAATTTCGAGTTATCCCTATTGCATAGATTGATAATTTGGTCCATATTTTATATACTGAGCCACGATAAAGAAGACAAAATCACATTAAGTTCATTTAGAAGTGACACATCTTAGACATGTGCTGCTAAATCTACTTCTTTTCGATCGCCATCAAGACATTCCCTGAAACATACCTAACTGAGGACGCTGGTCTTCAGTTTTGGGCACTGCGGAAGGGGATGGCTGAGCAGCTGAAAATCCAAAAATAAAAGAGAATGTTAGTTATAACTTCTATTTGGCCACATCTTTGATGTTGTATCATCATTCTATGGATTATCTTAGCGATTAACATAACAGTCTTACTCTGAGACTAAGCAGCATTTAATGGCAAGAAAATTTCCTTTCCACAACCCCCAATAAATAAAAAAACATTGCTGGGGTGCCTGGGTGGCTCAGTTGGTTAAGCGTCTGACTTTAGCTCAGGTCATGATTTCATGGCTTGTGAGTTTGAACCCTGTGTCAGACTCTGTGCTGACAGCTTAGAGCCTGGAACCTGCTTCAGAGTCTCTCCCTCTCTGCCCCTCCCCTGCTTGTGTTCTCTCTCTCTCAAAAAAAAAAAAAAAAAAAAAAAAAAAAAAAAAAAAAAAAAGAATAAACTTAGAAAAAAAAGAATGATTTCATTTAAATCATTGCTCTTTTCTGTCAATGGAACGAACATTTGAGGCTGATAAAGTGTAGATTCCTTGCAGAAATCAGTATGTGTTCCACTAATGGTTATCTCCTACCTCGTGACAAGCAGATTCAAGCAAGAGCAGCCAAACACTGTACCTTTTGACTGGGGGGTGGGGTGGCCGTGACTAGTCCAGGCTGATCTCCTGGGTGGGTCATAAGGTAAATCTGCAAAGACAAATACAATGACTGAAAGACCAATAATTTAATTTTATAATAGATATTTTGTGTGCTTTTTGTTTCGTGTTCATTAGAATAAGTATTGTGGATGAAAATCCAGTAATCCAGAGAAATACCCAACCTGTTTTACTAAGAAATCATCATTTTGTTCATTTTATTGATCTAACATTTTCATGCATTGATCTGAAAACTCTCATTGAGAGAGTGTAACAGAGTTTTCTGGGTCTTCTAAGGAAACTTCCTATTACCACAGGTCAAGATCATACAAAGAGTTTCTTATTACCTACTTTGACTTGCTTCTGCCTAGAACTGATCTACACGCAACTGTTTGTTACCTTCATGATGCATCCAGAACAGAGGTTACAAATTCATTTAAGTCCGATTATGTCCACCAATCCGTGCTCAAGTTCTGCCCCTAAATCCAAATGACACCCCTGATCCTTCCTCTTCTTCTTTGGGATTGAGCATGACCTTCTCATCATCTTATCTGCCATCTGCTTCTCTCAGTCACCCCTCATTTTCTTTTTATAATCTCACCCAGTTATATTAAATCAGTCTCAACAGTCCAGTTATTTCTCCATGTAAATTATCTACTAGTTCTCTTTCTCTAAATGAATTTAGAATTCCTTTAAAATAATTGCATGTGATCAATTGCAAGACTGAAACGATATTGTCTCCACAACATGTTAACCATGACTGTAAGAGGTTAAGCATATGCAATGATTTCTTTATCCATAACATATTGTCATTTGTCTCAAAGATCTTCAGTATAGTTTTGCACATGCAAATTTAATGACCATATTTCCCATCCTCAGTGCAAGCTCTATTAATAACTATAAAGACTCTAAGTCATTTCAAGGTCCTTTCAAAAATATATTCCAGAACTGGGGTGCCTGAGTGCCTTGGTCGGTTAAGTGTTTGACTTCAGCTCAGGTCATGAACTCACAGGTTCGTGAGTTCAAGCCCTGAATCGGGCTCTGTGCTGACAGTGCAGAGCCGGCTTCAGATTCTGTGTCTCCCTCTCTCTCTGCCGCCCCCTGCTCATGCTCTCTGTCTCTCAAAATAAACTGAAAATATACTCCAGAACATTACCATGCATATTCTTACTAAGTGTGCATATGCAAAGTGATTTCTACATGAAACCTTATTACAGAACCGCTTCAAAACTATGTCTTCTTGGATGGATGCGTTAATCAGTCCTGTGCCATGTGTCATTCTGGGCCCACAGAAAGCCACAGCCAGATACTTGATGTATTCTGCTGCTGGACACATGGAAATGGCTATAAAATCTCACTTGAAGGGCAGGGCACTTTAAGCCTCTCTTTAAACCAACTATTTAACCTGTTTCAGACTGGTAGTTTGGTGTGTCAATCCTCAAAAGGTCTATGTTGCAAAAGATGCATCTCTTGGGGCACCTGGGGGGCTCAGTCAAGCATCTGACTCTTGGATTCTGCTCAAGTCCTGATCTCATGGTTTCAGGAGTTCAAGACCCACGTTAGGCTCTGTGCTGGCAGAACAGAACCTGCTTGGGATTCATTGTCTCCCTCTGTCTCTGCCCGTCCTCCAACTTGTACTGTCTCTCTCTCAAAATAAATAAGCTTAAAAAAAAAAAAAAAAGATGCGCCTTTTCTTATTTTCGTATCCCAAAGAGAATACCACTGAAACGCAACGTGAAATTCAATAAAGAGTTGCCTTAATTTATTTGGTCTGTTTGGCTACAAGCACCTCGACTCGTATGGTCTGTGAAATCCTACTCTCTATAGCTTTGGTTAAGTAAGATATATATATATATTTTAACTCTGCTATTGCTCACTGCTTCTTCTCAGCTATAATTTTGCATTTTGGATCATAAGTCTTTCCCACCCGGCTCCTCAGATTCTCACTTTTCTGGTGCTGGGGTTGCACATGGGAATTTTCTGCAGCCACTACCAATTTACAGCTGTTTCAACTTGAGTCTCTGGGAGCACTTTGCACACAGATACTCATCCAATTGCATTTTGTCAAAAAAAAAAAAATGGTCAGCCAGCATTTCCATTGAGATCTGTCTCGAAACAGTGGACTCCTGTAACAGCATTTAGCTGACCAGGAGCAGATGGGCACGTGGACAAAGGGGCTTCTGCTGGCCAAATGTAAAAGCAAGACGATACTAAAATATGTTCTAGATCCTAGATCTCAAAGGGTGGTCTGCGGACCGGGGACACTGGCAACATCCGGGAGCTGGTCAGAAAAGCAGAATCCCACTCCAGGGCTACAGAATCAGAATCTGCCTTTTAACGAGGTCCCTGGGAGTGCACTGAATGGTATTTGAGCAAGCCTGTTCTAGACACTTTTTATTACAGTTTTCTCAGCAAGAATCTGTGTTCCCACAGATAATGATCTCAAAACCGTTGAGTGTGTCAGTACAAATGAGAAAATGTGTGCAAAGAGCTCTATATTGGTTACCTCTACCAGGGAGAATGCTAATGGAATGAACGGCAAATGTCGGCAGTTGGACCACTACTACGTTAAACATCAAAGTGCTATTCGTGTAATGTGACTGGAAAAAATGAAACACCCAACTAGCAAGAGACAAATATTTTGAAACTCTTTATTCATAAAACCCTTCTCCGGGTATATAGCCATGTTCCGTCCTCCCTTGAAAATAAGTTGGGACCAAAACAACACGAAGCCTGACCCTGAGCCAAGAATTCGAGATGTTTATATGAACAATGATTAACATGTTCATAAACATATTGCCATGGAAGATAAGTCGGCTTTTGTTTTTGTTCATGAAATTCTGGTCCAATGCTTCCTTATCAGCTGCCGCTCATGCGCTGGGGCACTGAGTTTCCCTCCACGGGGGAGGTGACTCTGGGAAAGACTGAATGAAGCCGAACTGATTCCGGAGGACACGATGGGGACCTCTCTGGGTGGCCCACCTGACAGCACAGCCAGCGCTGGGGAGTTCTGCCCTGGGGTTGCTTCAGAAATTTCGACTCCAAGCGCACTCGCTAGGCATCCCTTGGTAATAGGAGAACACAGAACTTCTACTAAGGACAGATTCTACATTTAATTTCTGGTGGTCATTTCATCGTGCCCTCCCTGTCTCCTGTACTGGGATCTTCAAGGTAATTAACTCATACACTTGGCAGAAGGTCATGTGCTGGAGAAGGCTGCTTGCAGGCTCCGCTTCTATTTTTTTCTGTAACAGGGTGTGTGTTTAAAAACTGAAGGTTATACAAGCCATCCGTGGGCAGCTCAGTGGTCACACAGAAGTGTGTTTTATGCCATGATCCAGACCAAAAAGCACGACCCTAAAAATAGGAAGTTGGACCAGCACTGGGTCCCTTCACACCGGCACCTTGATTGATTTCCTGGGAGCTGGGGTCTGCTCTTGATTTTTGAGAGACCTCTCTCCCCCATCCACTCCTTGCCCTGGGCATCAATGAGTCAAGACAACATATAGACTCTATTCTGCATCCTGCGGGGTGAAGTTCACCAAGTTTTACATTCTGCTTTCATCACGCTTACAGAGGAATATCCCTCTAGCTTTCTCAACATCCACATGCCCACTTTATTTTTTAATGAACCAGGAGTTGGACCAAGGGAGAGCTCATCTTCATTCTGCAGGATCCACATGGCATTGGAAAAGCAGGGTGGCAGGGCCCTGGCGAGGCTGGGTAGGAAAGGCTGAGATCTGCCTGCTGTCCATGAACCTAGATGCTAATACAAAGACAGAAAGACCAAGAGCCATTGCCCAGAACCAACTGATAAACCCCTACTTAATGGAAGAAAGATTGGGAGTCCACCCTAATGCGATGAAGTCACCCTCTCTTGTTTTCCTCCAGACCCTCCTACAGTCTTCTAAACTGCCCCCATCAGAGGCATGGGCATCTGGGAGCATCGGGCAAGACTTTCTGGGCTTTGCCAATCTGTGGGTACAGTCTAGCCAGTGGGAAAGCAAAGTGTGCATTTCTAGCCATGAGCTGGGATACAAGCTTCCCATAGGGCCTGGCTGAGGAGAATGTGCACTTGCAGCCTTGCCATGACTGGTGACACCCAAGTGTCACTATGTTGTGAACACCAAAGGAGAATTATTCAAGATTCCGAGAAACCCCTGAAGAGCACGTGCTTACAAGTGCCAAGTTAAGGCTGCATGTGCTGGCTCAAGCTGCCAGTGTCTTGGGATGAGATCCTAGACGTGCATGACGTTACGTAGACTGCGTGGTGATGGAAGAGGAGAGACAGGGCTGCAGAATGTCCCCCTTGGTGTACATCACGGCTTTCATATAAAATGCTCCTGAGATATGAGGTGGGGATGGCACACCACACGGTCAAAAACCAGCTTGCAAGTTTCAGTGGTCGGACCTGTCTCTTTACGTCACTAGAGGCCTCAAAGGGCCCTGGCTCCGGAAGGCATGTGCTCAGCAAGGAAGAAGGGTACTTGTAGGGGCGATGGCTGTCACAATCCAAGAAACACATGAAGCATCCTAAAATCATGATCATAAGAAGCAGAACGTAAAAAGACACACCTGCGTGCTAACACTTTTTATAAGGGGAGGGGAGGGAAGGATCTAAATGCTAATTCAACAAACGGCTCATGAGCGAAGGTGCATTTTGAATCAGGAACATTTAGGAAGAGCAGATAGAAGCAAGCCTGGGAAGAGAAGGGAGAGACATGAATGAAATAGTAACATTTCACTTGGAGGTCACCAAACAGGGTTGGCCAATTGTGGGGTTAGACTGAAATGACACAGAGACTTGATGAGGGAAGCAGTCAGGGGACCTGGGAAGATGTGACCCATGCAGGAAGGAAGGCTAGGAGGCCAAAAGGAAAAGGTAGATTTGGGTCAGGAGCCCAGGGGTGGGTTACTCAAGGCAGAAAGGAGAGGAGGCAGGATGGGACAGGAAGCATGGGGGAGGGGGCCTGGGCACGCATGGATGGAAAAGTGGCCTGTTCCCATGGCTGTGGGGTTACAGAAATGGAGTGGCTATGAAGGTCACGACTGAACAAACCAAGAGTGCAGGGGGACCAGAACCCGGGTCTCCATTCTCGAGGGCCCAAGGGTCCTCTCCCAAGGTGGGAGTCAGCCATCACTGCTCGTGCGAGCATCAGACACTTCTGAGCCCAGGACCACAACTGGATCCCAGCTTGTCTGGGAACGACCTTGTAGTGCCTGTTTCCGCCGGGCCAGCGCAAGATTTCCACCTTCACCCTGACGGGCTTTCCAACTCACAAGTGCATCCTTCAAAATCCACCCATGCGTCCACCTAAGAGGAGAAGTAACTCTCCTCTCCAAGGTCAAATAGCTTGAATATTTCAGCAACTAGCTCCTAAATATTTCAGCAGAGTTCCTGCTTGTTCAGTCTGATTCAACTTCCTTACAGCGCATATACCAACATCTGTATCTCCCTGGACAGTCATGGGAGCAGTCGCCAAAACAGGTATTTTTGCTACAAACTGGGTCTCAAGAATCATACTTTACAGGGGGATGGAGCTAGGGAAGTGTGATCTCCTCCAGGTCACACACAAACGATGGCCCCAAGGAAGAACGTTACCAGAGCTACATGAGGTGTATTTGAATGTGCCACCAGTGTCTCCCTGACCGAAGCACGGAGGTGTGTCCCAGCCTTCACTTCCCAACCACTCCCTCTCCACACACCTGTATGGCTGTTATCTTCCAAATCTACTAGACCTCCAAATATGAAAAAAAAAAAAAGTTCCAGGATCCACTGCTCTACATAGTAACAAGCAATCGGCTAGCTGGTCTGACCACTGGGCTGTACCAATGAACTTGGCCAATGTTGTGATCTTTTGACAAAACTCCAAGACTAGCTCACAACCCCTGGATTTTGCAACTCAGTGAGATGCGTCCATGAGGCAGCTTTAAACAAACAAACCAGCAAGCAAACAACCAAACCGTGGCCCACTGTTTTGTAGAAAGCTCTTCTTCTTTTAAGTACAGATGGAAATGCTTTTTAAATGCTCACAGAATCACTGTGGTTTTCCTACACTTCCCTATTGTTCTCCCAAGGATGCATTTATTAGAGGTAAATGGTGGGTTTTTTAAGGGCCAGTCCAGGTCACTCTAGACCCTGCGTCTGGTCCCCAAGTAAATGTCTCTACCATGATGGAGGGAACGAAGCACTTTAGCTAAACCTTTCCACCATGCTCCCTAGGAATTGGGGAGCAAACCCTTCCTCTGAGGTTAGAGAGGAGGAAATGGCCAGCCTGAAGGCACTATGACAGTAACAAGGCAGTGTCGGGGTGGGAAAACCTTCGAGAAGCTTCTTCACTCATGCTATAGAGCTCCTCACTAGAAAGAAACAAGGGTGCCAGACTTATTGCTGCGGACCAATCCAAATTGCATCTTATGTAGTCTGGACGTGGGACAGAGGTCAAGGGTGACAGTTTGGGTCTAGGAAGACATGGGTTCCAGATGCATGAATGACTATGGAGAAAACAGCCTCCTGCCCTGAATCGCCATTTCCGCAGCTGGTGGGCTGGCGTGTTATGGGTGCCAGTCCTGGTGAGGGGACCGATGTCTAAGCCACACTGCTCCTTATCTGAAATGCCCTCCCCTTCCTTCTCCACTGGGCACACATCTAATCCTCCTTTGGGGGGTGGCCCTTCCTCTGGAGAGTGTCCTTCTTGCTCTCATGGAAGGTACATTTGCAACCTCTCCTGCTCCGACAGCCTCGGCTGCATCCCCTTCTTTGGGTTAGAGTCTCGGTCTGTCTCTGGCTCCCTGTGGCTGGCCCTTCAGGTTCAATACCCATGTGTGAGTCTCTCTGGCTCTAGGTGGCTCTACCACAACATCTAGAACTGCAGGCGAAGCGTCTATGTGTGCGTGTGAGCTGGTTTCCATGGACCCCTCTGTGGCTGACGCACAGGAGGCTCTCTGTGGACATCTGTGGAATGAGCAGGCCAGCCTTCTGCAGACAGGAAGCTTTCTGAAGTCTGGCTCATCCTTGTCCCCCCAGAAAGTAACCCTGTGCTTGTCACTAATAAGCACCTGATACCATGTATTCTTTCAAAAATGACACGAAAGTCAATTACCTCGAGCAATCAGGAAAGACGTAACGTAAGAGTCTGATAGAAATACCATCTATGCCATGCTTCTGCTCTGAATCACTGGCTCTCGTGACATGCTGCGGGTCCGTCCCTAGCGTCCTATGGGAGATCTTGTGCTTCGAGTGTTTCCCCCAAGGACACACGTCCTTCTGTTACCTGGAGCGCAGGCGGATTCTCTACCACCAGGCATCCAGGGTGCCATCTTTGTTCATGTGCCTTCCAGAGGGGCTAGCTAAGGGGCTGATCGGTTTTGTTCTGCAGCCAAGGACCTGCAGTGTGATCTTGGGAGGAAATGGCCTGACGGAATCTGGGCTCCAGATCCACAGAGGCAGAACGAGACTGCTCAGGACTCCCTTCAGACCCAGGATCCGTGCCCTCTGACGCTCATGACTTAGGTCACGGATCTCACGGGACATCCCGGGAAGTCTCCCCAGGGACGGGTCACACGGGGGTGTTTTTCGTACCTGGCCTAGTTGTAATTCTTTGCGTAGCCTCAGGATATACTGAAGTATTTGGGAAAATAAAAGCTGCACCCCCTGCAGACAAAAGGAAAGACAAAACATGTGAGGGTCTTTTGTTGAGGTTATTGATCTCCGCAACCGAATCAACTTTGCCCTGCGACACCAAAGGGAGGGGACCGCCCCGGAGCTTGCCATCCGGGACTCCCCAGGGGAAGGGACAAGCACAAGGGGGCAGAAATGGATTCAGACTACAGAAGTACCTGTCAGGCTATGCTGAGTCCCATTTGTCAGAAAATGTCCTGTGTCTCGGTGTTACAGCTTCTTGCCGAAGCCCATCTGTGTGTCCCCATCACCCCCAACCATTTCATTTTCTTAAAAAAAAATGCTATGGTGCGTATTTTCATTTATAAATTGCGTAAAAATCCAGAAAACATTTTACAGAGCCCTTGGAAAGCAGTCCCAAAGAATTACAAATATTTTTGCCAAAGAATATATGGATCTTATTAAAAATAAATCCACATCTCTCTTCCAATGCATGTTTTCCCCTCTCTCCTTCTCAATCTACTGTCCATGATGTGAGCAGGAAAAAAATTCCCTTTCTGCAGTTCAGTCCATTTAGAATTGGTCGTCCTGTTCTTCGATTGCTTCTATGTTTAGCAGTAACAAACGTAATAAAAGCAAAGCCTTCTCGAAACTCTCTCTCACTGCTACAGATTCTCTAAACAACTGTCAAATGATCAGAAAATGTGTCGCTCAAGGTGTTTCCTAAGAGGGGGAAACCACTTTGTCTAAGTTATTTGTTATTTCTGGCCACAAGGTCATTACCAGGCTGATGTGTGGAACCTACATTGAAAAAGCATACGACTGACTCCAAACTTTTTTTTTTTTCACTTTAGATTAAAAGCACAATGTCCTGAACATGGAGGACCGAGATGAAGGAGCAATCTTCACTGTAATACCCAAACCTGGACTCGTTCACATTACACACTTTAAACTGACATGGCAAATGACTGGAACACTGCTGTACTTCTATGTGACGCTGGCCACGAATCGGCTTCTTGGCTGATGAGAGCAGCAAAGTTCTGAGCCTGGCCAGAACTTGCTGGTTTCTTGCCTGGCCTGAGGGGTGGCAGAGGGTCCCTGCAGGCCGATATCATGGGGTGAGTGGCCCGTGGCCATGCTTCTGTGGCTGTCTCTATCAGGAGGCAGACAGTGGGCACCAGCCGTGAGCACATTCATCCGCAGCAAGCCAGCCTCAACTATGAGGGAGGGGAGGGGGAGGGGGAAGTTAGCAGGGATGAAGCTCTACTAGACTCAGGCCGTAAATAAATAGATAAAACGCAGAGTCTGTGGTTAGAGACGGAATAGCAGGTATGGGGTTAGTAACTGATTTCATATCCTCCGAAATTACAGTGCAGTCTCTTTCAACCCAAAGCTCACAAAGAGTGTCGAATGAGCATTCCTTCCTCCTGCCCTTTGCAAAATATCCAGAGTCTGAGCAAGAAGATTAAAGTCAGGATGAGTCAAGTGGCCTAAGACTTTTCCTAAAAGGAAAAACAAAACAAAACAAAACAAAACAAAAAACAAAACAAAAAAAAACCTTCCTGCTTGACCTAGTAGACATTCCTTTACGAAGAAAAAAGAAAAAAAAAAAAAAAAAAGAACGCTGAGGGGCCCTTTATATCGAACATGCTTTTAGTTTCTACAGTCAGCACAGTGCATATCTGGGGGTTAATAGCAGCAGATGATGATCCAACAAACGTGAGGGGAGGCCACGGCTAAAGGCTAATTCTGCACGTCTCCTAGTTGAAAGAAGTCCTTTGATGGTCCAGGGGAGTGAGCCGTGCTCAGAAACTGAGAAGGGCGCCCCCTGCCGGCGAGCTCTGGTATTACGGCAAGAGTCTCCTGCATATCAGGAATCCCTCCACCATCCCCTCTGTTCTGCCTTCCTGACGCACTGAGGGTCCCCACGAGCCACCTTTAAAGCATGCAACCTGTGGACAAGCCTCTGCACGTGTCCCGTGGGGGAGGGGCAGGCCCAGCATTACCTGTGTTTCTAGCATGCATTAACCGTGGAGAGTTTTGTAAGGCTTTATCAACATCATCTGAAGTCAAATGTGGAAGAGGAGCTACAAAACAAAACAAAAGCAACATCAAAATGAAAAAGAGAGAGAGAAAGAGAGAGAGAGAATTACCTTCCTTTAAAAAAAAAAGAAAAAGAAGAAGAAGAAGGAAGAAGGAAGAAAAACACCTCCCCACCCCACCCTCATTTCGGGGGCTGCTCAGAAATCTCTCCATGGCCCTGTTGCTGGTTAGCATGTTAAAACCTAGGTGGGCCCATATTTAATTGGGAGAATAAGTGATCGGATGCCAGGCAAAGCATTTACACCAGAGTCCACACCCACCCCGCAGCTGCGCTATTTCCGTCTCCCGTAACCATGCTCGATGTCTGAAGAATGAAAGCATGCAGCAAACTTGGTGAATTCATGCCTCCAATCGCCAATATGCCATTCCCGCCGTGTCAGGTGAAGCCATGTGTCATGAGACCCAATGGAAATGTCCCTCACTTGGGTTCCGGTGGGACCCAGAGGGGGCTTGGTTTTAGCTTTAGGGAGCATGAACCCCATCATTCCCATCAGGAGCCTTTCCATCTGTTTCGTTTCAGTGTGGGACGCCACGGAGAGAGACTCAAGAATGTGTGACGGGATCAAGCTTCGCTCCCGTTTGCCATGTGATCTTGGTAGAGGTGACCCGGGAGGAGGCAGCTGAAGGCCAGAGTGACTTTCAGGCTTCTGGGCAGAGTGCTGACTGCTACTCACATGTTTACCTACCTGGGTCACAGCCCTGTAAGCACCTGGCTCCCTCAGACCCTACGTGAGAACTGGGTTAGGGCGGGAAGCTACTGTCACAGACTGCACTGGACCCCCTGAGCTCAGGTCAGCAACAGCCCGCACCATGGTGGCCTGTGTCCTGGCCGGGGACCCTCTTACTCTCTCTGAGGTAGTGCAGGTGGGAGAGGAGAATGTCAGCGTTGTAGCTCGGGGTGAGCCTCTGGAAGTCTTCCTTGGTCATCTTGCACAGCTCCTTCCCATCGATGTTCTGGAACAGCAAGATGTCGACGTCGGGGAGGCCATATTCTTTGACCGCCCACTCCAGCCACTGGCGGACGTGGTCCGTACTCCACAGCGTGGGATCTACAAAGGGTGTGGGGGGGTGACACAATCAATCAGCTCCCGAAGATGCGTTTCCAGGGCAAAGCCATCTCCTGGGCAGGGGTCCCCGCCAGCCCCAGCTTCCCAGGGCAGCCCCTTCCCTGCTGTTCTAGAAGACGGGCTTCCCAACGGGCTTGGCGACTGGTCAAAATCAAGTGTCTCCGGGGAAAGACAAAAACTGCCATCACACCCACACCCAGATATCACTGCCTTTCAAGTGAATCGCTCTGGAACACTGCTGGCCCCTCGTGGCTCAGATCACGTGAAGCGTCATGTAGCCACGGGGCTTTTTTCTTATGCATTTCTGTCACTTGTTTTCATTTTTATTTAAAAATAGAAAAAAGTAATGGACATTTTCTTTCCTTAAGGCACCGCTGGCATCAAGAGCTCAGAACGCACATCAGGAAGATGTCCATTACCTTCACACTAAAAAAAGTATTTGTACAAAGTGTCGAAAAATTCTGGCCACAAAACTGGTTATCAAGTGTAGGTGAATGAAAACCCTAGCATCTCCTATGGGCTAGTATTTCTTTCTTCCTTTTTAAAAAATATTTTTAAATGCTTATTTGAGAAAGAGAGAGAGAGAGAACGGGGGAGGGGCAGAGAGAGATACACACACACAGAATCTGAAGCAGGATCTAAGCTCTGAGCCATCAGCACAGAGCCTAACGTGGGGCTCAAACTCACAATCTGAGCCCAAGTCTGAGGCTTAACTGACTGAGCCACCAGGTGTCCCATACGGGTTAGTATTTTCTTTTCTTTTTTTTTTTTTTTCCTTTTCTTAAAGTTTATTTATTTTTGAGAGAGAAAGAGATAGACAGAGCACGAGCAGGGGAGGAGCAGCGAGAGAGAGGAGATGCAGAATGTGAAGCAGGCTCCAGGCTCTAAGCTGTTAGCCCAGAGCTGGATGCGGGGCTCGAACCCACAAACTGTGAGATCATGACCTGAGCCGAAGTCGGACGTCCAACTGACTGAGCCCCCCAGGTGCCCCTGGGCTGGTGTTTCTGAGAGAGAGCTGTCAGTTGCCTGCTTTTCCTGATGGTTTTACACCTATCAGGCACAACAGGGGTAGGACACCAGCTGGGGAACCTACACACCACACGGCTATGGGGCATAGACAGGCAGACTGTGTCATCACACTCTGCTGCCACATATGGGAGGGGACTCAGTAGGGTCCCAGAGGGCATAGCCCTGGGGAGGAGCAGACAATCCCCCTTGGAAATACAGCCAGGAACACCCCACACAAACAACCTGGGCGGAGCGAAATTTGGGCACCTAAATCCTGGCAGGTGGGAAGGGCACCTGGGTGGCTCAGTCAGTTAAGCGTCTGACTGCTCCTTGGGTCATGATCTTGCAGTTTGTGAGTTCGAGCCCCACATCAGATCTTGACCTGAGCCAAAGTTGGATGCTCCATTGACTGAGCCACCCAGGTGCCCCAAGTTTATTCACTTATTTTGAGAAAGAGAGAGAGAGACAGGGAGGGGAAGAGAGAGAGAGAGAAAGGGAGAGAGAGAGAGAGAGAGAGAGAGAGAGAATCCCAAGCAGGCTCTAGCTGTCAACACAGAGCCCAATTCAGGGCTTGAGCTCACAAACCATGAGATCATGACCTGAGCAGAAACCAAGAGTTGGACGCCCAACATACTGAGCTGGCCACATGGCTCTCATATCTTTTTTAATGGAAAGAAATTACTTCAAATCCAATGGAATCCACCTCTTCATTTCCCCCCACCTCAACACCCAGAAGGAACCAGTGTTCTGAGCTTGATGCCCATCATCCCTATGTATATTTGAATACTTTTACCCTATCAACTAGGTGTGTTGTTTGTGTTTTTATTTTTTTATTTTTATTTTAATGTTTATTTATAATTTTTGAGAGAGTTAGACAGAGAGACAGAGCTCTGGCACGGAGGGGCAGAGAGGAAGGGAGACACAGAATCTGGAGCAGCTCCAGGCTCTGAGCTGTCAGCACAGTCCCACACGGGGCTTGAACCCATTAACTGTGAGATCATGACCTGAGTCGAAGTCGGATGCTTAATTGACCAAGCCACCCAGGCACATCCCGTGTTGTGTGTGCTTTTAAACTTCACATGAACAGTATCTGATTTGCTTTGAGCACCTGCCACTGTGTTTTCAAGACGCGTCCAAGTGAATCTATGTAGGGCTCTTGATTATGTAAACTAAGCAGCTCTCCGGCCCCCTCACATGCATAGACCCAATTCACATCTCCCTGAACATCCCACTGTCCGCCCCCCATCCCGCACATGTGAAGGAATCTGCTTGGGTCCACAGATCTGGCTCCACACAGGAATCACGGGGAGATGGGGACACCTAGACTCCTCTCACCCATGGAGATTCTAACAATTCTGCTAGAGGGCAGCCTGGCATTGGAACTGTTAAAAGCTCCCCAGCTAATTCTCAAGTGCAGCCGAGGTTCAGACCATCCCCCCCCCCCCGCCAGGGGGATGTTCAAAGTGTGGTCCTGGGATCCAGCAGCATGGACTTCGATGTGCGAGTCCCAGGCGCCCCTCCCCACCTACATTTTCATGAGCTCTTGAGATGATCCGCATGCAGGTTAAGCGTGGGTAAGTGCCAGCCTGAAGGCGGTACCCGGATGCGGAATTGCTGGGTCGCCGGGCATGTGCACGCTCAATTTCCCCGGCTGCTATCGGATTTCAACCAATTTTGCAGCCCTCACACTCTCAATCAGCAATCAACGTACAGAATGTGAAAAGCTGGGAGAGCCCAGGTTCTGTGTCGGAGAGAACAGCATCCACAAAACCTGAAATAACAGGAAGGTGTTTGCAGTCCTCTGTCATCCAAAAACACGCGAACACTTTGGTCACCTGCGAAAACGGAGCGCGTGTGTGGAAGGATCACTTCGTCCACTGTGAAAGTTCAGGTGTCTAGTGGCCACTGGGCCAGGGTTTTACCTTCAGGGATAAAAATGGCCAAAAGCCCAGACTGCTTTTATAAACCCCAGTCTTGCTTCCTTCTCCTCCTCCCCTGCCTCCCCCTCCTCCGTTTTCTTCTCCTCCTTCTTCTCATGGCCCTGTAATAATTCTTCATTATATAGACCCAGATTGTATCTAATGATGCAGAATTCAAGACCTCATCCTCCTCGGTTCTGTGCAGAGGACAGTCACAGACTCTCAGACAGAAGGTCCTCTCATCCGCTGTCCCGCCCTTCGCGTTTTTATTTTGTTTTGTTTTATTTTATTTTATTTTGTTCTGCCTTTAACAACCTAGAAGGACTGTTTGGGGCGGGGGTAACTACTTCCCAGGAATCAGTTCTTTCTGGGAGTGCATTTTCTCCTCTTAATGGTAGAACTAGATATTTTTTTAAAAATGATATGTAAGCATCTTCCCGAAAGTCACCGGGTTCGTGTTAAAATAGTGAAATGACACCTTAGGAAGACAGTAAAAAAAAAAAAAAAATAGAAGTCTCATCTCCCTGTGGTCCCCTGGTGTGCTGTTAATAGGTTTCCCTCGCTAAGCCCAGGGCTGTCACAGCTTATTCAACTTTCGTTTCAGGGACTCATGGGTGAGACCTGAAAGACCAATTCTCTGATCTGTATTGTTATTATTTCTAACGTTCTCACTTTGGGTTGGCAAAATGGTTGTTCTCCTCTACCACTGGGATGGCTATAAATCGCTACCGCCTTTCCGACGAACAATTCAGCGATACATTTGAAACGTCTTTAGAAAACCGTATCTCTGAACTAAAAATTCCACTTCTAGAAATGTATCGTAAGGAAATAATAGAGGATGTGCGCAATGATTTATTTTCAAGGATGCTCTTTGTAGTGTTGTTTATAAAAGCATAACATTGGAAACACCCTAAATGTCCAGCTGAAAGAAAACGAGTTAAGTTGCAGGACATTTAGGGATGTTTCCGTGATGCATGAAAACTAAAACAAGACTGCAGAATATATTGATATGAACACATGCTCAGAGTGAATTAAATTGCAAAGTCTGAAAACATTATTGAAGTATAATTATACTTTATGAAGAAATGTAAATATATCCAAGGAAAGAAGTTTGGAGAGCTATGTAGCAAGATGTCAACTGTATGGGGAAAAAGCGATGGAGAGTTTTAGATTTTTTTTTCTTTTTCCCTCAACTGCATTTCCTCTTATTTCTCCAATAAACATGTAACACTTAGGTTAAAAGAGTTGTTTATAAAAACGTATTCTGCTCTGTTTCAAAATCAAAAGAGGATCTTGCAAAGGATTTAAATATATGCATATTTGTTATGGTGTTTCTATAAAACTTTCAAGGGTATAACATCTTAATGTCACTCTCTCTTATACAGTTGATTAGTGGGGATTGCTTCATTTTAAAAGAATAAAGATAGCCAAAGTTGTGTTACTCATATCTTCTTGGGACTAGAAAACTCCACATCCCTGTACTATAGTTTATAAGCCAAGAATGCGGCCATTTGATAGAGTAAATAAGGATATTCCTTTCTGCCCTATACTTGGGGCGCCATTATTCCAGACCAACGCTGGAGGTGTCATAATAGAGAACCCTTTTCAAGGGACAAGGCCAATCTCCTCAACACAAAGCAGAGGACACTTAGTTTTCTGGGTCCCAATGTCTTCATGGGTGTTATTCTCAACCGTTCCCCATCCTGTCATCCTACAGCCACACACACCCCCTGCTTGTACCCAAACACCACCCGCTGCCTGCAGAACTAGCCCCTTCTTTTCCCCTTACCTACACTCACCACCTGCTTTGGGCATCTGTCCTCAATGCTCTTGATGGGTAAGTACTTACTACGACCCTCTGGGTAGGGAGGTGACCACAAGACTGCAAGCTCATCCCTGCACCAATCAGTGAGCCCTACCCACCCCAGCTACCCTGGCCAGGCATGGATGCCGCAGCAGAAGGTAGCATCTTGGAGAGTTCAAGTCAATGTGTTGGGTCCCAACTCACCCTTCAACTCCATAGAGAGCCCAGTAGTTTCTCTTGGAACGAGCCCC